GGAAATGAAACTCCAGTTTTCCCTAATATTTATCCAATATAGAAATGTTTATGTACTTTATATGTGTATATGCTATGTGAGAAATGTCCTAGCTCACTTAAATTAGATTAAATGTGATTTGAACTTTCAAAAGTCCTTATTTCTATTTGATGCTGATGTCTCACAGTCTTCTCATTCACTTTCTGTTCTTTTGTTTCTGAGACGGCCGTAGCCATGCATCGGCTTCACTTCTCTCCGGCTGAGTTGACGTTGTGACAGGCCTTGAGAGGCAAGGATACACAGTGTCCTTATTCTGTCACCTTCCCCCGTTGGCTGTGACTGGCCCCAACACATGCATTCAAACCCCTACAGCACAGCCAATAAATCACTGTCTTCTGGTACAATACAAGAGAAAGTTTGCTCAAGGAGCTCAGCTCAGACATTATCAGTGTTTGGTCCCGATCTATTTTGGTCCTCTCCTTTTCAGTCGCTGGATGTCTGACATGAAAGGATAGATATGCCAGTGGCTCAAACTGTGATGAAAACTGTGATGTTCTTCGCTGCATTAATGGTTTGGATAATAATCAAGCTGATCTGGATGTGTGTGTCTGCTCCTTTTTGGCATTTCATTCACAGATGCTTGCTCTCACCTCTGTGGAATGTGTCCACACAATTATTCACATTACACACTTACTCACTCATCGTGACCTTTTGTCACGTAACTTTGAGAGGAAAGTGACACTTCATATTCTATCTTCAGACAATCTCTGGAGAGGCATTATGGTTGCTGCATGTTCCTCTGGGTACATGTGCGTCCTCAAAGAGCCACCCATTAATTTTTGACCACTTCCTAACAATGCAAACCGTCCCTATATTATCATATCTTTCAATCATCCTCATAATATCTGCAGGGACATACAGTATTGACAGAGCTGCAGAATGACTGTATGTCATTTTACACTGCAGTGTATCCATGGTTAAAATATGAGACAATGGGCCACGGCTCTTTGTGGTATTTTTGCATCTCTTTGTATGCATTGTATGTCTCTTTGTGGTTATTTTGTGTCTCTTTCTGGAAGTTTTTCTTTTCACAGTAATTTCATCTCTTTATAGTATTTTGCTTCTCCTTGTGGACATTTTGTGTTTCTTTGTGGTCATTTTGCTTCTGTTTACGGCCGGTGACTTTGTGGTTGTTTTGTGTCTCTTTGTGATCATTTTGCATCTCTTATTAGTCATTGGACCTGGACCTGTTTGTGGTCAATTTAACTTATTTTTGCAGTCGTTTTGTATTTCTTTGTGGTCAGTTTGCATCTTTTTTTTTGTCTCTTTGTGGTTGTTTTGTGTCTATGTTGTAATTTTGCATCTATTTATTGTCATTTTGTGTCTCTTTGTGATAGCTTTGCTTCTATTGTAGTCATTTTGTGTGTCTTTGTTGTTGTTGTGTGTCTCTTTGTGGTCATTTTGTATCTTGTTGGGATTGTCTTGCATTTGTTTATGTTCATTTTGCATTTCCGTTGTAATTCTTTGTCTACCTGTGTTTTGTTGCATCTCTTTGTGTTCGTTTTGCACCTGCTTGTGGTCTTTATGCATGTCTTTGTTGTTTTCTTGGGTTTCTTTAATGTAATGTTGCATCTATTTGCAGTTGTTTTGTGTCTCTTTTTGGTAGCTCAATTGTGGTCATTTTGCGTTTAAGTCCATCCGTGACTGTGCCCCAGTGCATAGGTCAGGAGTAAGGCAGCAATGCGAATACACGGAATGAGATCTGGCTGGCATATACCCTCAAGGTGTCAATATAAAGCTTCTGTGCCATGATGGATCTGGCTAAGTTAAAAGAATGGGTGTCAGACTGCAATGATTGAAGGCTTTTAGCGCTGGGATGTCACTGAGAGAAAACTAGGGATTGGAAATGATTGCATAGGTAGAAATGAAAACTGATTGGATGGCAAAATATATATTTTTGTCAGCAAATCAAGCACTTTTATGCAAATTCTTGCAAGCAATTTTTCATATATTCACACATCTGTCATCTCAGTCAGACCTCAGACATCAAGCATGCAAAAAAGAGTGTTTGCCAGACTGCGAGGAGCCAAAGGCGGTGATTTGCATAGGAAATGGCCATATGCGATTGGCTGAAAGCGATGAATAAACAAATGAGTTAGATCTGAGGCTTTAGAGTTGGACCCCAGCAGAAACTATTTCTCTGTGCAAGATTGAAATTTGGACAGCAATGAGTTAACAGAATCTGTAAAGTCACTTCTTCACCAAATATTTAGCCTGTGTAGAGCCACAAACAAGTACAGTAGTGTCTGAGAGTCAGTAAGCAGTCCTTTGGAACTTAGTTGTTTTTTTTTTCAGTTTTAAGCATATTATAATAAAGGTCAATGGGCTGTTTCACCTGGGAAAATACAAATAAAGAGGAAAAGTAGATTGTTGCAATGGGTAGCTTTGGTTGGTCAGACAACCAATATACATGGTTGTGTGTGTACTTGCTTTCTCTCTCTTTTTCTCTTTCATATGCACAACAACTCGCAAACCAACTGCCAGTGATTTCACTGTGACATCAGAGCTCACCCAAGAGCCTGCAGCCCACCTGCCTGTGTTCATTCTGTGGTGGTCAAGCCTCTGCTGCCAGAATTTTCCTGATAACATGATGACTGGCATTCACAAACATTATTTGACATCTGTATGTTACTAGTTACTTTGAACATCACGATTTTACACACACAGCATTTGATATACTTTTATAGAGGAAATTACCGAACAGCGGTATAAAGTAGTTGAAATTAGCTCCACCATGCATGCAAATATGACCAATCCATTAATATTATGTATAATTCAATTCAATTCAATTCAAATTAGCTTTATTGGCATGAATGTGTAACAACAATATTGCCAAAGCATCATACAAACTACATAAGAACAATCATACATGAACAATAATAATATTATAAATATTGTTATAATAATACACGCAGGGTTCATTTTTAAATGAGTACTTTTACTTTGAATGATTTAATTACATTTTGCTGATAATACTTCTGTTTGCTTAAGTAACATTCTGAATGCTGGACTTTTACTTGTAACGGATTATTTTTACATTGTACTGATGTAACTTTTTCAGTTATTCCACAGCTTGAGGAATGCCAGATATATGTGACCGACATATGTCACTCTTTCAGTCTCCATCACAGTATCCCACTTTCTGCAGAAAAGACACAAACCTGGCAACTCTGCATATAGATCACAGATACAAAGAGAAGTTAATATGAAAAGTTTGTTAATATTGGTATGGACAATTCAGCAATGCTTGTAGAAATGTGTCCCCAACGTCCACACCTAAATCTACACATACAGTTTGTCGATTCCTCCCAAAGAGTAAAAGTCTCTTGAGACTCTAAATTCAATTCTGCTATTACAATTAGTAATTATCTGAATTCACTGAGGTTAGGTGTTAATCACTGTAATCAGTTGTATTGTTGGCATAGCTATGTTATCTCCTACTATAGTAAGCTAAAGAAACTAAGAGAAAAGATGGCCTTACTTAATATGTGATACCACGCAAATGTGTTGCGCCATGGGCAATGAAAAGGAGGACACTGGAGCAGAGTGTGTAAGCATAGTACACTTAATTCTTTATTTTTCAACTTTACAAACAGTTTAAGACTCTCTAAGACCAAAACAACAATGAATGAATTCTTAAATTGAGTGCTACAGCCTTTTAATCCCTTTACACTGATGAATATTTAATGTGAAAGTAGAAGGAGATCCCATTCGCACTTGAAAAACAATTAGGAAAAAGAGAGCAGGACAAATGTAAATTTATTGAGGTCAGCTTGATTTTTTCGCTATTTTATCACTCTGGAGAGATCTCCTATTTTTCGGTAAGAATTCATCCCTGCTTTAAAGTGAAAACATTAGCTAACCCAGGAGACCACCGCACCACAGCTTGCTCCATCTGGTTAACACTGCAACTCAGAACCTTTAAAGTTTGTTTTGTGTCAGCCAGGTTAAGAGAGCAACACAGCGGGAGAGAAAGAAAGACAGAGACCCAGAGGGAGGAAGAAGAAAGGGTGGTGGGAGGAGGCCCGGGTCGAGTCCTCAAAGTGCCGGACTGTTCTACTTAAAGATCTTTAAATAGGGTGATTCACTAGAATGCCTTGCTCTCATCTGTCTCTGCTCTCGTTGAGGCGCCGTGGGATAAACCGGGGGCTGAGCATCATGGGAAAGTGGGTTGGGGTGTGGACCGCCGGGCAGGTTGTGCCATCACTGGAGGAGCGAGTCAAATTTACTCAAATTGCCCACAGGGATCAATAAAGTTTCTTCATTAGTGGATCATTGTCCTATAGAGCCACCATATGTTTGCAAAGGACACAAATCTCGATAAGCAACCATCATACATAAAACATAAGCCAAAGTCAAACCAATAAGATAATGGATGTTTTATGCGCTGGAGCCAGAGTTGCTTTGAATGCCAAGATCCATCCATGTGGTTAGTGGACTCATTTACCTTCCGTCTGAATTCTTCACGATTTCCCGGTGCAGCTGATTGCCTCTAATTTCAGCTGAGCATCTGGGGAAGAGGATTCATTGTGGAACAAGAGCAGGGACTATGGGTCTTTGGATAGCGGCATGCCAGCTAAATGATCTCCAGTGGACGTAGGCTTAAATGGAGGCTAAATGGCGACGCAGAACGCTCCTCTATCTGAAGCTCATTACCCGCCTCTCAATTCCCCAGAGACCTGGCTCAGCTTCACGCCGAGCACTTTCCTGCCAGGAGGAGGGTGATTACAACATTTTGCTCGACAAATGCTCCCTTCCCCCTCACTTTTCTCATCATTTCCTGTCTTCTCTCTCACCCTCCCTTTCTCTCTGTGGTCAACCCCACTCCTTTTCTTCCCTCTGTGTTTCTTTCAGACTCCCTCGCTCCCGCACCTCACAGGCACCCAAAGCGATTCATTCTCTGACTGATTTGTCTTTGTCTCCAACCTCTGATTACAACATTTAGAGAGAGGCGAGCCATGAATGGTATAGGTGTTTACTCGCTAACAGACAATAAGCGGAATTATGAATCATACACCAGCGTGTAATCCTGACAACAACAACAACAATAATGGCAACAACAACACAAAACTGTACGGAAATCAAAAGCCATTTGAAAGTGAACCACAGGAGAGCCAGAGAACGGCAAGCAGATGGGATAAACAATGATGTACGCACAGGGTATCATCCAGCCAGGGAGGAGTGGAGGCCTACGCATTTCTTTGCCAAGGCTCAATGTACTCGAGACCCAGATGGGCAAAGATGTCCTTTTCAGTCGTAGCTGCCAGGAACTCTTTCTAGAGAGAGGACAAACAAACAGAATGTCAGTGACTTATGCAGAAATGTGCAGGAATTTGTCTTGGTAGCACCAGTCCAAATTCATAAATTCTCGATTTTAAGCTTCAATATTCCTGAAAATCTCGTATTTGCAGCCTAAACTGCGCTTGTATTTGGACTCTTATCTCCACTGCAAGCTGTCAATATCAATTTAGGATTTTATTCGCCCAGTTTGCATCAAGGCTCAAACATGCTGGGACAGATTTACATTTGACCATCCACCTCCCTTCCAACTCATAAACACTCTAACCTTGCTCTAAGTCATTGCACTCTTCAGCAGATGAGTATTTTCCCTGACAAATCACGACAGGGCTATTAACTGCTGGCCGTCTACCGGCGCCATGTGATGGGCTATGTCTCTATAGGAGTGATGACGAGGCCTGACTCACCTTGGGAGCAAGACAGCCCGGAGAGAGAGAGGGCTGTGATTCTGACACATCCTGCCTTCAAGTGCTAAACTGGACCTGACACGTTGCGAAGGGATGGCAGAAAAACCAAGAGCACGTCGGCTCCCACAGCCAGCCAAAGGCAGAGATAACTGAGAGCAACTATTAGGAAGCCAGAAGAGGAAAAAACACTACAAGGCACTTCTCCCAACATACTGGCTTGTTATTTATAATGCAAATGACAGGTTAACCATGCGGCGGGGAGGTTTGGCTTCACACTGCATGAAGCTCTGTTTATGTCAGACTTCTTTAATTCTGTTTCAAGCCTACTTGGGGTTAAATTTAAAGCATAAGCCAGTTTATACAACTTCGTCGTTTATGGTAACACTGTACAAAGTAATTGCTGAGATCTGGGAACATGGTGATATTGCCACAGCAAATTCCTATGGCTCAAGAAATGAGGGTAAGAAACAAGCAATTTTAGCCAGATCTTCTCATCATCGTCAATGTTGAACCAGAAAGCCGACCTATAAACTGTCGTGGTTTGCACTGGTAATCATTTTACCGCTCCATGTTGTTTTTGCTGCAAAATAAGTTTGGCTAACCGGGGGGGTTGCGTAACTCTCTGAACAAGTGGATGTTTTTTTATTTATGATAAATTAAGCTACTCATAAGTGCCATTAATTGACATGACGTGTTTTAGCACATTTTTAAATGATTCATATTCATATATTAGAATGTTTTACACAAGGGTTCCCATATCCTTTGATGTTAATGCGTGATATAAAAAGTATAGAGTTGCTATAGAAACAGTAAACTGAGTTAACTTAGTTTAAGTCTATATTTTTTTCAAATATGCACCCTGAACCCTTTACATACAATTAAGTGACTGGACACAGACAGCAGCGTCTTCTATCACTAATACAGTTAGTTAGAAGCGAGCCATATTTCCAAAATGAGAAGTAGGGTAGAAATCTAACTACTGAACAGCTGCAAGTATATGCACGGATTTACAGTAACCAGGTTACTTTGCTGTGAATACATTCTCCGATTACCTGTGTAACCTGGTTTCTCTGAGTAACCTGGTTACAGAAGTGAATGTTAACACACTGACTATAGTCATGGAAGGTCAGACAACTATCACTACATTACTTTTGATTGTTAAGAAGATCTAAACATGATGATTATTAGACGAGATCTAGAGTCACAAGGAGTGCCTATTTATGACTTATGAGTGGATTCCAAGGTTTATTGTGATGTTCACGTTTCTGAAAAGTGCCAGTGTGCATTCATAAATCATGGTCAAAAGATAAAACATATTATCATCTGAATGCTTGTGTCGCTTGACCCGTCGGATGATAGAAATGATGGTCAAAACTACTAAAATAAGACCCCGGTTGTAGTAACCTATCATATACTTTAAGGACCATCTGGGATGAGATTAGCTCTGTTCCTAGCTCTCATTTTCTCTTGCACACAAAAACATTTAACCAGTGCTGTCCAGAGAAATATTATCGCTCTTTCACAAAGAACAAGCGTATTGTTAGTAAAACAGTATAATATTTGATCCCCAGGCCTATTAAGTGGTCCACCACTGCATGTATTTTTTACTGTGCTCATAACCCTGAGCCCCTTTATTGCTCTAAAAGCTCAAAACACATGAAGTGCAGACACACATCGCTGAAATTTATGATGTGGCAAGCTATATGTATTAAACATACAGGTGATAAAAAGTGGACACAGGGATGGAGGAGGAGGGAAAGAAAAGGGCGGGGCGGGGGGGGGGGTGGCTGCTGGATATAGCTGATGTGATTTAGAGTAAGTCCACATTTCTAACAACATATGGCAGGGCTTATTGTTCAGAGGAAACTGAGGACAACTCTGTAGATCCAACTAAAGGACAAAACACAGGGCACAGATGAGATTCTCAACATTACCAATTTAGCTATTGTCCTGGATCAGAGCTAAAGCCCTTTCTCTTCTGCACTGTCCACTTTTGGCAATTCCTACAATCCTTACATGCCCTCAGGGAGACGCTGCTTTATTTACTTTGCACAACACAGTGTGGGCTCTCTGAGAGCTAAATCCACAAGCCTTATGTACCTCTGAGTTCTCCACTTTAGGCAGACACAGGGAAACCATACTTGAAATGACACAATCTCATCATCATTTCAGAGCTTTTTGGTTTATCTAAAGAAGCGTAGAGTTTAAGAAGAGCATTGCTTAATTAGAAGGAGAGGTTATCTGTCTCATCACTCAGGTTCAGTGACTGGCAAGCCACCAACACCACCAGCCAGAATGGAAGCCGTGTGTGTTACTGCAAGCTAGTGTCCTTGACTTAATAAGCCGCTAATCAGCTACATGTTTCTCTGTCTGCCTCGTAATGACATCCCTCGTGGATGTGAACACATATCAGTTCCTGCAAAACATCTGCCCCTTCTCTGCTGCCCGTCATCCTCTCTCTGCCACCCGGCCCACTGCTTGATGGATGGAGCTGATGGACATGGCTGCCTGCCCGGCTCCTGCCCGACTCAACTGACACATCGAAGAGAGAGAGAGGGAGACAGAGAGACAAAGAGAAAACCTGGATAGCTGTTCAACACTACCCTGCCAGCAAGCATCCGGACAGAAGGAGAGAAACATGTAGGAAGCTCAATATCAATCCAAATTAGCATAACCACTGAAAAGCAAAAAAAAAACACACACAAAAAAAAAATATTGGCCTGATGTGTGAATATGTACATTCATTCTCTATCATTTATTAACTTAATTTTTCTTTCAAAGTGTCAAGTTAAAATAATTTTCATTCAGAACTTATGCTGATCATGATCAAGTCTTATGAAATGAGTTGAATGAATGTGAACATTGACTAATCTTATCAAATCAACTTTCTAAAGAAACAAAGTGAGCATATTGGCTTATTTGCCATAGGTTGACCACAACACCCTCCTCAAAGTCTTCTGACCTGACCAAAAGTTAAAAGGCAGAATTCCTTTATGCTGGTGGTGTCCTGTGATTGTAATGACAACGATGCTAAACGTGATAAATGTTCAAATTAACCTCAGTTTTTTTGCTGTGCAGAAAAGCCATATGTCATATCAGGTAGGAATCAGAGTTTTTTTTAGAAAAGTCAGAACACTTGCAACGAGGAACAATACACTGCAATTCATACTCTATCCGAAAGTAACCTGATCTGTGTTAGCTGTGCAAATTGCAGAATTGCTTCAACTGACAACCAGCATTATCTATGCAGAAAAACCTGGACATCCAAAATTGTTCCTCCTACTTTGCATCTCAGTACAGACTGACAGGTTCAATAGCTGAAGAGAATGAAAAACGGATCCTGCAAACTTCGAACATGATGTGAACAACAATTAATCAAGTTCAGTTTAGAGGCGAATGGGAACTTCAGGAGTTGGTGGATCAGAGCTAAATGAAGAGGGAATACTGGACTTATATTCACCAAGTGGCCAGAAATACAAAAACCAAAAAATGCTAATGTTGCTCTAATTCTGTTGACAGTGTAAATAGGCAACTGTTTGCTAAAATGTTTACACAGCACGTTATACGGTGATAATATATCAGTGTTTTACACAGCTTGTTGTGCTGCCGTCAAGTGGCCAAAATTCAACAAATGCAGGTGTAAAATGTTTTACAGTGTGGGTCATGATTAAGAAACCCGGTGGCTATGGACAATCACAGATGCTGTTAAACTTAATTGTTTACATTTACACAGAATTGTGGCAGTTTACTGTATCCACATCTATTTAATGATGTTGGCACAATGTTAACTGTTAGTGTGTGTAGATTAAATAAGAGATAAGGAAATAACACGTGATGATTAATCTCATACAAACACAGAGAGAGAGAGAAAGAAATGTCCAAAAAACATTGAGAGAAAAGAAAGTAGAAGTCTGCTAGGAGAACCAGGATAAAGGTCATGCAGAGAAGTATGCAAACCTGGAATCCATGCAAATTCACTTATGCAAACTCTGTGGTGGGAAAATGTATTTGAACAAAAGCCTCACTAAGAGTGCTGTCATCTCACTTTCAGAACTGACTGTCTGCTTGGCCACAGGACAAATGGCCATGTATGAAGAGCTCGAGTACTGAGGCCAGACTGAATGGCAGTTGCACATAAAGCTTTCGAGGGCATGAGATTCAGCTTGTTGTATTTTTGGTATAACAGTGAGAGGAATGTATTCAGTGTAAAATATTTTATGTTTGAGGAAACCTGCCTTTTTATAACAAGCCCAAGGTACACTTCCATCTCAGAAGGCACACTCAAAGCCAGAAAGAAATGTGATGTTTTTTTCACATGAGTTTCAGGTTATTAAATCAGCTAATGTCCTCAGTCCACTTTTTTTATTTGGACTTTCTTCTTCTCACTGACAGTTAGAAATAAATTACTTTATTGCCAAGAGATCACCAAAAAAGGAAAAATCATTTGATTGCCTTTAAGTTAATTTGTCTTTATTGCAGCACACAGGAAAGGGCTGACAGGGGCAGAAAAAGTGGGAAGTTGATTATGCCCCTGTGTCTTCCTCCTGCAACGATCCGCCACACACCCACAC